ATAATCCATGATGTCAGTGTGAAGGGATGCCCCCCGCCAGAGGACTGGGTAGTGCATAGACGGTCTGAGTGTGGCAAGTGTTAGTGAACACTTTAGTGGGTGGGTTTCGTGGTCCACACGTGACTCTTGGGAATGAACAGGAGATGGAGGACATCAGAGGAGCTAAGATCAGACAAATGCTTTAGCAGCTGTTGTACCAGCAATTGCTTTCCCAGCATACTGCTCTTCTCTAAGCTCTCCCCACAGGCTCGTCCATGGGCCCCTCATGGGGTTCATGAGGAAGATGAGAGCTGCTTGTCGTGGTGAACTTCTAAGCTGACTTAACCCCTTAGTGTTTTTTCCTTCAAATCTGAAACTGTCTCGCGCCACCCAAGCAAAATCCTGCTGTTTAGTTAACTCGAAGGAAACTGCAGAGTTAGCAGGACATTCTGTGCCAGGCTGTAAACTGTGCACAAGGAAGAAAAAAAAAAAAAAAAAAGAAGGTAAGAAAAAAGTAGCCCTGAAGAATTTAGGTGGATACTAGGGCTCCAGAAACAGGACAGGAAGGAGTGCCATCGTTTATTAGAGTCATTCAATTAAACAAGCAAACTCCGAAGAGAGCTGCTCCAAGGAAATCACTTCTTAGCACTGTAATGAAAGACAAAACAAAACAAACTCGTCTCTGACTTTTTTTTCTTTAAATAAAAGGGCTGTTTAAAAAGATGACTTGTACAGCGTGTGCCACTTCTCCCCAGATCGGCAGTGCAGAAGTGTGAGTGATGTAGAGGTACTTGTTTATTATAGAGCACATTTCAATGCAGTAATCATAAATATTGCTAAGGTTGTGCTCTGTTGAAATATGACCTACATACTCTTGATTGTTTGTGTTACGTGATTTGTCTGACACCCATTACATTCTGGGTAATAGCAGCCATTTGTTGCTCTGCACAGCAGGCTCTTTTGACAAAAGAAAATAGGCAGCGATAAAAAAGCTATAGTCTGAATTACATTCTGCACGGAGCTGCACTGCTGAGTGTTTGTGCAAGTGTCTTAACAATGCTCTGAACTGCCTCTTGTCAGCCTTCAGCCTGTAATGGCCATCTGTCCTCGCATAAATCTGTCAAAACCTGCTAAGTTCAAGAGAGAGCATGGGATATACCTTGTACTGTCAACACCAAAATGTACACATTCCCCAGAAAAATCAACACGCAGGAAAGGAGCCAGAGGTTATGGGATGCATTAGCGCTGTTGATTTAGGCTTGTGGCATGAAATTGAGAGTCCAACCATTAGTGGGAAGATGAGCAAAGGGATTGAGCATTAAGGAATTGAGTGTTGACCTCTGCTGTGCCACAGGGGAAGAAACTGTGGGCAGAGCAAGTCAGGTTAGAGAAATATAGCTGACTCAGAGGCCAAGAGGGGTAACCTGTTCCATCAGCTATGCTTAAAAGTTTGACACAACACCAAAAGAAATGAAAAAAAAAAAAAAAAGTCTTTGAGCTTTCATTTTCCTTTATTTTGCCTTAGGTCTCAACTACATTTGGAAGTAGATTTTCAATTACACACTGGGTGATACAAAGTCTGTCATCCATGAGATTTCTCAGTCTTGTGCATAGATATTCTCTGAATATGGGTTTTGATAAAGGGTCTAAAGAAAATAGTATGTTATCTAAAACCTTTCCCCTACCCTTCTGTGTACCAACAGTAAATTGTTTCCCATGTGATGAGCAAGTAGGATTTGACTGAGCCAAGTCAAATCTGAGCCAAGATTCATCTGAGCCTAGTGTGTTCACTCACAGCACACGTTTGGTTTTTCCAGGGCATTTCCACCCATCTTAAGCATATCTACAACAAAGCATAATGATTTTGAAGTTACAAGAATTACCTCTTCCTTAAAAGTAGCTGTGATGTCTTTGAAACACTGGTGACCTGTGTAGCATCTGGCACACAGTAGGTGTGCTGTGGATGTCTGTTCAGTGGCAGTTCAGTGGCAAGAGGCTTTCACATTGTTAGGGCATAAAAAACTTTGCCTTTCACTGAAAGGAAGTGTGCTCAGGGAATTACACATCCAGGAACAACTGGAAAGCCATTTATTTAAACAATAATGAACTTAGTGGGACAAGGGTTTCGAATCTTCAAGAGTAAAAGAATTTCTATATTTAAAATCCCTAGATAGTCAAGGTATTTTTAGAGCTAGTCTCTTTTTTATAGTGGCCTAATTTGGCATTTCTGAAGTTCAGGGTTTCTTTTTATACATAAGGACTGTCAGTCAAAACACAGATATTTGGAGTAAAGGCCATGTGCTACACAGATGTTCAAAGACCTTGGTTCTCAGTATGTGGTCTGGGAACCATCTCATTAAAAATTTGTAACTAGCTTCCTAAGTGACTCTTAGGTCACTAACACGTGAGACCAGCTACTCAGAGAAAAACTGCAAAAATGAAAATAAGCAAAATAACCTGTAGACAATTAAAGCCAGGCAGCATCCTGCAAAGCACTCTCTGGAGAAGAGTGATGTGCTTCTCCTTAAAAAAAAAAAAAAAAAAAAAAAAAAAACAGACAAATGCAGTACATATAACATAAGCCCCCCAAGTAGAGTAGTCAAGTCATTAGAACAGAAAACAGAAACAAACAAAAAATCCTTACCATAAACTGAATGAGTATAAAGAGATTTATGTGGGTTGAACCTGGGTGTTGACTGGCTTTCTCTCCTCCAGGTCCACTTTTATTGGGTTTATTTGACTGGTTCTTGTTGGTACTTACTCAGCATTAATTTTTGAGTGTGTGTTGTGTTGTGTATGTGTGGCACAGGTACTCATTAGTGTTGGCATGTGCCTGTGTGTGTGAAGAATGTACACGCTGATGCAGGCACATGAGGAGGCCAGAGTCAGAATCAGATGGCTTCTCTCAGTTACTCTTCACCTTTTATTTGTTGTTTATGAGACAGTCTCTTATTGCACCTGAAGCTAGGTCATGGATATGGCCAGGCTTTCCAGTCCATGAGCTTCGGAGTCCATTTGTCCCTGATGCCCATCACTTAGAGTTACAGGTACATCCTACCACACCAAGACTTTTTCCAGTGGTGCTGTTAACCTAAACTCAGGTTCTCATGTATATGCAATAGGCACTTTACTGGCCGAACCATCTTCTCTGTCCCTCATCATCAATTTATGAGCATCTGTGACCCTAATGGGGACTATTCAAGAACTTGACATCTCCTTTTTTGAGTGTGAGTACTTTGAAATGTGTTGTGTTGGCAACTAAAGATAATGTCTACACAAGTACAGCAATGCAAAGTCTAAACACGATGACGAAGAGAAGGACTGGGAGCTCCTTAGTCTAGGAAACAAGCCGTGCTCTTTCTAAAGGAGGGTCAAAAGCATGGCCCTCAACAGAAGAGAAGTTGTAAGCAGGAAAATGTTGCCTAGGGCCAAGAGTGGGCATGTGGACAGAGCCTGCTCGTGCAACTCAGGTGTGCCCAAAGGATGAATGTCCATGTCTGTATTCATCTTTCTGAATGCCTGCCCCCACCTTTCTGCATGGAGATAATTAGCTCAGCATGCTAAAAATATGCATAGGATTGGATCATAAGCTTTTCTTTAAGGGAAAATACTAATTTCTTCCGCATCTTCATCATCAAGTAGGAGAACAAGAGGGCTTCTTCCTGTTTATATCAAAATTGCATGCAGCTCACTGTGACCTACTTGGTTCTTGACATATTTATATTTTTTTTCCAGCAAGGTAGGAATTTTTTCCCCCTTGAAATGAACAGTTGCCTTGAGTTTCACCCCAGGCTTGTTAACAGACTGGAAACCTTCTTTTATTTTTTTTTTTATTTATTTTTTTCCTGCTAAATAGCATTCACCCATCCTCCTAAATAGGAAATCTATTGTAAACCAAAATGTTCCCTTGTAAGCATAAAGTCATCTGAACTGCACCCTGCCCTCCTTCAAACTTCCTTGAACACTGAGCTTCACAATGATTATTCCTAGGCAGGACACAATGAATCGAGTTTACTCATGGATGAGACTTAGAGGTAACTACTATGCCTCAGACTGCCCTTGGTTGGCTTCAGCATCTTCTGTAGCAAGGCAAGCAAGGCACCAACCCATAGGCACCCCTGTCTTTCTTTATTTGTTCTTTGTGTAATCAGCTGCTGAAGCTTGGACTCATTCAGTCCTTCTGCCTCATGCCCTCAGTGACAGTGTGCTCTAAATAAAATGGTTCCCTGGCATGCAGATATTTAGAGTCACTTTGCACTTAACTTTCTGTTGCAGAACCATATTTTGGACAGAATGTATTAGTTATGCTTACAAGAATGTATTATACCTACATTAGCCATGGCTTACTAAGTTAATGAGCTGTGTAGACAAAGACTCATTGCTGTCAAGTTATGGAGGGGCTCTGGTTCCCCGCTCTCCACTGGGCCATCCCATTTTGCTGAACCTATTTCAAAGTTGTCCGTGTATGTCATTCCTACCCTGACCAAAGTTTGCAGTCATTCTACTTTTTGAAAAATATTCCCCCAAGGGTAGATTCTTGATTATATTATAAAGAGCCTTGATCCACTTTCATTTTTCTCCTGTGGCATTCTTTGTAGACAAATGCCACCAAGGCTGTTTCATGATTCCTAGGTCCCACACATTGATTGCCTTTAAGTGATACTGCAGTTCCCTTGGAAATGCCACTTTTGGTAACACCTGCTCCTGGGGCAGCTTGCGATGACACGCTCCTGTTTTCTAGGCAGCAGGATTTGTTAGCATGCAAATACTATGAAAGCCAAAATGCCACAGCCCTTGCTACTGCCTGGTGTTGTCTTTTGCTGGGTGACCTGCACTTAGGAGAAGAGTCCATTTTTCAGGGTTCGTCATGAATTTAGTTTCCTCCTTCTTCACTCAGTCTGAACCATAGTCTGAAGTCTAGGAAAAATGAAGGAATGTGTTTATCCTTGGAGAACATTTCCTCTGTCTCTTTTTTTCCTCTTTATTTCCCCGCATTTCTTTTTGTTTCTCTTTTGCCATAGGCCTAACTCCACCCACAACTCCTCCTCATAAAGCCAACCAAGATAACCCTTTCAAGGCTTCTCCAAAGCTGAAGCTCTCTTGCAAAACCGTGGTACCACCACCATCAAAGAGGGCCCGATACAGCGAGTGTTCTGGTACCCAAGGCAGCCACTCTACCAAGAAAGGGCCAGAGCAATCTGAGTTGTACGCACAACTCAGCAAGTCCTCAGTGCTCAGCCGGGGACACGAGGAAAGGAAGACTAGACGGCCCAGTCTACGGGTGTTTGGTGACCATGACTACTGTCAGTCAATCAATTCCAAAACGGATGTACTTATTAACATATCACAGGAGCTTCAAGACTCTAGACAACTAGACTACAAAGATGCCTCCTGTGACTGGCAGGGGCACATCTGCTCTTCCACAGATTCAGGCCAGTGCTACTTGAGAGAGACTTTGGAGGCCAGCAAGCAAGTCTCTCCCTGCAGCACCAGAAAACAGCTCCAAGACCAGGAAATCAGAGCCGAGCTGAACAAGCACTTCGGTCATCCCCGTCAAGCTGTTTTTGACGACGAAACAGACAAGACCAGTGAACTGAGGGATGGCGACTTCAGTAATGAACAATTCTCCAAACTACCTGTATTTATAAATTCAGGACTAGCCATGGATGGCCTATTTGATGACAGTGAAGATGAAAGTGACAAACTGAGCTACCCTTGGGATGGCACGCAATCCTACTCATTGTTTGATGTGTCGCCTTCTTGCTCTTCTTTTAACTCTCCGTGTCGAGATTCAGTGTCACCACCCAAATCCTTACTTTCTCAAAGACCCCAAAGGATGCGCTCTCGTTCAAGATCCTTTTCTCGACACAGATCGTGTTCCCGATCACCATACTCCAGGTCAAGATCAAGATCCCCAGGCAGTAGATCCTCTTCAAGGTAATGTTGTCAAAATCCACCCCATGCTAAAGTGTTTCCTCAGAAGTCAGAGAGAATATCCGACCTCAGGGTTGCTCTTCTGGAGCCGCCCAGCCAATTATCTGAGTCTTGTACACCCCCCACCCCACACTCCTTCTCCATGTTCTCTCACACACCCACTTCCGAGCGTTCTTCCTTGGCCAATCAGGGCACAGAGAGACGTTTGTGAGGAACTTGCTTGTGTAACTTTTTCCATTACCTCCAAAGTAGCCCTTTGCCCAGAGAGTTGAGATCCCTGTAAGATAACCCTGACAGCACAGCCAATGAGTTGTGTGAGAGACGCGGAGAGGGCAAAGATCACTTCCGGGCGTCGGGTCTGACTAGATGATGGCAAGCTGTCGCTGGAAGATCTTGCTAATTAAGGAGAAGACAATTCTTACAGCCCTGAGTTTCCAGTGATGCTCGGTGGTCCTGGCACCTCGGGCTAAGAGCCAGCTGCAAATGTCCTTTCGGTTTTCTCCTCTCTCCCAGATCCTGCTACTACTATGAATCAAGCCACTACAGACACCGCACACACCGCAATTCTCCCTTGTATGTGAGATCACGTTCCAGGTCACCCTACAGCCGTAGGCCCAGGTAATGAGGCCTGTCCTTTCCCTTCAGCTCTCTGTGTCCCCTCCTTCAGGTGGCAGTCATTACCCTAAACCCTTCTTGTCCCCTCCCCAAATGATAATGTTTTTTTTCATACTAGCAGAGGTGGTCGGGCTAATGATGAGGTTCTGTTTCCCAGGTATGACAGCTATGAAACGTATCAGCATGAAAGGCTGAAGAGGGATGAATACCGCAGAGAGTATGAGAAACGGGAGTCTGAAAGGGCCAAGCAGAGGGAGAGGCAGAAGCAGAAAGCAATTGTAAGCCGTGTGGAGCTAATTGCATGATTTTCTTTTGGCAGGGGAGGGGGTGGCAGGTTAAACAATAACTGAACATTAATGTTTGTTTTTTTAACAGGAAAATACTCCATTTTTTGGCTTTAAAATGTCAGTCTTAAGGCTCTCTTCTTTGAAAAAAATGGTGTCAGTACATTTCTCATTACACTTGAGTTGTAAAGTTCATTAACTTTCTCAAGTTTTGTTTGGAAAAATGAACAAAGGGGAGGGTTCTTGGGTCTGATAGGAGTTGGAAAACGTGTGTGTGTGTGTGTGTGTGTGTGTGTGTGTATGTGTGTGTGTTTTAGCAGTTACCTGTTACTTCTTCCTTTGATTGGGCTATGAGGAGATTCCAGAGTCCATTTAAAATCATATTGGAAATCTGGGTAAGAAAGTCAGTGTTTCTTACCTCTGATGGGCCTTCACGTGACTGGGCATGGGGTGGGGCTCATTGTTGATACATTCACCTGACATGCGGGCACTGCTGATGCTCATGAGTAAACATACAAGTTACAACGCACCTGTTTGTTCTCTGAAATCCACTACTGTCCTTCACCAGCAGCTTTTATAATGTGGCATTCAGGTGGTCAAAATCCAGGACATGCCCATGGCAGACATTCTTAATCAATCTTGGAACTCTGTCCCTCTGAGGTCCCACAGAGCCTTAAGGTCTTTCCCAACATAGAGCTCTTGGGAGCTGTCACTAATCGATGAGGTATGGCACTGTTTTGGTTCATTTCACCTGCTGGCTGTCTATACTACCTACTCCAAGTCACTGCACTGCAAGGCAGTATTTGACACATCTTGCATATAAGCTAACCAAGCCTTAGAGAAATAAGCTCTTGCTATTAATGCTGGATTCCTGTGGTACCTCCAAGAAAACCCAGTAATAGCAACAAAAAAAGGAGAAAACAATAAAACTCACTGTATAAAACACATCGCTGATGGTGTCAAATCAAGTTTTAGCTGATAGCCACCAGCTGGAGTAGAAAGGTTGAATGAGAGTTTTGTTAATCATAGGAATTGAAAGAAACAGAAAGGAGAAATAATTGAATTGTTGGATTTAAGTTCTGGGTGTTTGGTATCATTTAGCTATGCATCCACCAAGGACTAAATCAAAGGCATTCTGCAAATTATCACACATCACCTCATTTTTTTTCTCAATGTTCAAATAAGCTGTGATGTCAAGATTTGCCAGAATGTCATTATTTCACACTTAGGAAGACTAATGAAAATGAAAATTTCAACTTTTTTCATATTGCTGTATTTAATTAATGGCCTATTCAATAATTACCATAATTTTATACAGTGCCATATAGTTTACAAGGCCTATTCACAGCCCAGAATGCACTGGCTAACTACAAAAGCAAGCTGCACTGAGACAACATACGGTAACATAGTGTTTGCTGAGTGTTTGCTGAGCCATTGCATTTACTGTTCATAGATTCATATCTTACAGATTTCCTGACTTTTTTCTTAAATATAGGGTATTATTTGCTCATTTGGGAAAAATGCAGTGCAATTCTAATCAAAGAAGATGAATGTTTTAATCAAAAATATGTAGATAAATGGCATGTATTTTTTTTTGCCTATCAAAATAATTTAGGTCTAGATACTTAATTAGAATAAAGAAGGGGAGTGACACATGCTTTTTTTCTGCTTTAACTTTCTCTGAAGACATCTAGTTTCACTTTTGCTGAGAAGGCAAAAGTGTTCTTAAATTCTTCCTCTATTTCCTTTGTCTCTCAGATGTTGACATGTTGACTTAATTCTTTGGAGGACTAGGAGTAATTCAAATGTTCCCTTGGCTATGTGAAAGCATTATACATTAACTAGACACTGGCGAGACTTTTGACATTGGTATTCATTTAGATTTGAACAAGTATTTTTAGGAAAAAAAACAAGAGATTGTTTACTAGCACAGAGATCTCCAATTAGTAAGTGTTTCATACATATTGGAGATATTGTGTTGAAGAAATTCACACTTGGAAAGTTATATGCTATTTCTGTCCACCACACATGAAGTCAATGTGTTAGAATCTCTTGATAAGTAATTGCCAGGTGCTTGAGACATGCTTTTAGGTAATTCCCAAATCCAAAGAGCTTGAAGTCAGCAGGCAGATAAAGATGTACAAGCAGAAAATATAATGTGATTAGTGGCTTGGTAGAGTATTCATCTAAGGCACTATTCAGGGAAAAAAAAAGTGGTTATCCAGACCTGTGGGGAAGGAAGAACGAAGATGGGGAAGTTGAAACTAATCAAAATCCTGAAGGTAGGGAGGGCAAAGGTTTTTTTTTTTTTTTTTTTTTTTTTTTTTTTTTTTGGCAACTAGAGTGTTCAATATGGCAACTGAAGTTAATTACATGGCTAGTTCTCTTAGGCAGCATTAAGATGGACCCTGTGAATGGATTTTGAAGACTTCCTACAAAGGACATGGGGGAAGTTCTAAGTGCTTTTGTATCTATCATGAGTCATATATTTTAGATATTTTGAGCTAAACAGCATGTATTGTTAGCATTATTTTCTGTTTCGTTTTATATTACTTAATGTGGGTTTTAGAGAAATTTAGATTACTTAAATTGTAATACTTTTTTTTTTTGAACATTGTTATTCATCGTAGAAACTGTGCCTGAGATGCATCTCTAGAAAATAGTTCATTATACTGGGAACCTCTAGTGATTTAACAGTTAACACTGGGCAGGATGGACCAGAAATAAGCCAATACATCTCAGTGGCAGGTAGAATTTTAGAGTCTTGTAACTCATGCTTAAGAGTTTTGAACACAGTAGCACTATGCAATGACTTTACCCACAGAAAGACTTTTTTAAACTGGCTTTCTTCTTCCTGTCATAAAGCTCTTCTTTCTTGTGCCATAATTCATTGAAAAAATCTTGCACATGAGCACTGCATGCTTACAGTGACTTTTTTCACTCATTTGTTTTAAATTCCATTCAGGACGTAGCTGTGGGAGCCAAGATAGGCCACCTAAGTTAGCTAGACAGGTGACTTCCATTCAAGTTTTGAGAGCCACTTGAATTTATAATGTCTTCGATGCCATGCTGCATTAACAACTATGCAGAGCAAACATCTACGAAGGGACCAGCAGTTCAGAAGTTGAAAAAGAAAGTGCAAACAGCATTATTAAAAAGTGGCCATTGATGTTTTTGCAGAATAAGTGTTCAGTTATGTCTTGTGAACTGTGTTACACGTGTTGAATTGCCAAGAAAAGTGCTTTGAGAGATCTGCAAACTTGCCATGACTAGTCAAAGCTGTAAAAGTCTTCATAGAGCCCAGTTTCAGCAAACTTTCATAAAGCTGACACTATCAATTAGAAACTGCAAGTGCAGAATTCTCTGTCATGATTGGATATTATCATTACATCTGTATCTGCTTTTCACATGGCTTCCATCCGAACTCTATCTCAAAAGCCAACCGACTCTCTGCCTTTCTCTGTCCCCTAAGTTAAAAATAATTCAGATTAAACTGGAGCTATGAATGCCAGAGTTTAGTACTTAGTGTCTGAACTGTCACTGTTTTAATTTCTTGCTGAAATCCATGTCCAACTCCATTTGCAATCTGTACAGTTTCTGCCAGAAAACATGATAATGGGATGCTAATTTAAAGAACAAATCTAGGCATTCTGATGTGGCTCAGTGCTTAAAACCAAACCCAAATGCTAGGAAATGGCGAGGCTCTCACATAGCTCCCCTTTATTGGTCACTATATAAGTCCAGGAGTCACACCCAATATATATATCATTACTGTTGATTATGACTGTCTCTCCAAATGTAGAAATGTCAGTTAGAGAGAAGAGTCCAGTTTCCTGTATGAGCTTTTGTCATGGTTTTTCAGTATTTAGCCTTTTCATGGAATTGTCAGTTGTTATGAGCACTTTCCCGCCAGCCTGGTCCCACAGCCGCATGAGCCCCAAAATAGCAAACAGAGGCTCTATTAGTTATAAAGCTGTTGGCCAGTGGCTAGAGCTTCTTATTGGCTAGCACTGTCTAGCTATTAACTCATTTCTAGCAATCTAAGTGATTCCATGTGGTTTTACTGGAGAGTTTCAGACCTCCTATTTCTCTCCTAGCCTACATCTTGACTCCTTTCTACTACATCTCCCAGAATCCTCCTTGTCTCCTAGTCCCACCTATCCAGCTTTCCTATTGGCCAATAGGGTTTTATTCATTACCCAAAAAGAGAAACATATTTACAGAATGATATCTCCCATCATCTCCTCTTTTCCATCTAAATAAAAAGAAGGGCTTTGGCTTTAACTTGAACATAGTAAAATATTTCAAAATAGTTATCAAATAAGAATGATAGTTAACAATATTTAATACATTAACATTATCAGAAATTAAAGAAAATATTCTATTATCTATCCTATCTTTGTGATAGGATATATAACTTATCTTTAATCCTAACTAAGGAAAAACTATAACCATAAATATCTGTCTTCAATTCCATCGAAGACCACAGAAGGATAGTATATAAGCTCTAGAACTGACAGAGACAATTCACTGCCTGGTTAGCCACTACAAGTTCTTCTGTAATGTTCCATCTTCAGCCTATAGGCCATAGTGTGTATGGCAGACTACTCAGCAAAGCAGGAAACTTTAAACTGCCCACCTGTATTGGAAGTTTATCAGTTACTTTTCTCTGTGTCCTGTAGAATGTCTGGCAGACTCTTCCATGAAGCAGGAACTCTGTAGTAATGTCCATCTTCTTTCAGCAGTCACTTTCCTGTGAGTCCTGCACATCTACTTTATAAAAATATAGTTAAATAGTCTAGACAAGAGCAGTATCTTGCCCAAATGGCTAGTCTTGTCATATTGGAAGCAAACTCCATAGCTAGTTTCTTAGATGCCCATCTTCCTTTTTGAGGAAAGTGGTGTTGCCAGGAGCAGTAATGTCTTACTGTCAAGAAAAACTCTAGACCATTTTAAATGCCATATTCTGTAGATCTTTGAAAGGTTTGAAAAAT